TTTCGGAAGTGGTTTGCCAGTGCCTCCTTCCTAGAGCAGAGCCCAGCTGGCGAGCGCAGGGGGCGGGGTTTCCGTTGCTTTGGGTCTTTTTCGGGTGTGCGCGGCTTCCGCACTACTGGCAACTGTTCCCGACTCCTTTTGCAAGGCGCCACCAGTATTTTTCCTCCCACCGGAGTGAGAGTACCCATTTATCTATTCACGTAAGTTTTCGAACTGTTGGGTTGACAGGAGCTGGGGTAGGAAGCAAGAGCTCACTCTGCTACGCGAAGGCTGGGCTCGAACCGCTGAAGTGTTGACCATTTCTGGCCAGCGTCATTAAGCCGTCCTATCTTTAATACAGCCAAACACTTTGGAGCACAGCTGCCTGCTGTACGTAACTAGAGCTAGATGTAACTACAGGTTTGAAAGAGAAGTAGAAATAATAGAAATACAACTACAATTTTTCTTGCTACCTTTCTGTTCACCAGAAACAGTGACATTTTGTTCCAACAAAGTTCACCACAGCCATGCACACAAAACTTTGCTCTGTTTCATGCACTTTTTGTTTTCTTTTTACCAGATTGGCAAAATGGTGTAGAAATGGTCCAAAATGAATGGATAATTTGCAAAATGAGATACTGAAAAAGCTGAAACTGATGTACTCTTACTCTTCTCGGCATTGTAAAAAGCCATTTGAAAAGGTAAAAGGTGAAGCTTTTTCACCGGCATGGCACACTGCAGTTTTTGAGGTTTTGCTTGTCCTGAAGATATTAAAGCCTCTAGCAGCCTTATGTGGGGATTAAATGTTCAACTTCAGAGGAGTTTGATATGTTAAAGAAATGTATTAATAGAATGAAAATGCAGAGGCTTTAGAATATTCCAGATAGTTGCATTCCAAAAATTTAAAAGAATTAATACATGCAAATAACCACCATATATGTTTACTTCAGATTTAAGAAATAAGGATTAAGGCTATATTTGCTTAACATGGTAAGCTATAATGTTCATTTAACCTGTTATTCTTGATTGTGTACACTGCTTGCACCAAAGTATGCAATATTTCATGGCATCTAGGCCTAATATCGATGCCATCTGGTATGTTATAGGTTTGTAGCCTATAAAAAAAACTAGGTTACAAAGTCTTGTTTCTACACTTCTAAAATGGTGTCCATTTTAGGTCCAATGACACGGCAAATACTAAGCTTTGGTTAAAGAATAACATGACAGCATCCACTCTCTCTTTACTCAGCCTATACAGCTTAACAGGCAACGCACTAGTCAGTAAGTTACACAAATTAAGGAATTATAAACCCATGTTATTTCAAGTTTCTTGTTCAGAATATTTTATTTCAGTTTTACGTAGTTTAACCCACTTTTCCATTTGGGAGGGAGACTTTGGCATCTGTAACTGACTAGCAGATTGAAATACTGTAAGTTGCCAAATTTCAAAGTTGCAATTTCATATTGACATCTTCACCTCATTGTCTGTAGAGAAAGAAAAGGTGCAGGTGGGAAAATATCAAGAATTAAGAAGACTTCCTATTTTGCCCCAGCAAAGATGCTAACAAGAATCCTTGGTGGAAGATAGAATTTAATTTTTTCTGTCCCACTGTGCCATTTCTTTTCATGTGACTCTCTCTCCCTTTCTTTCCACAAACAATACAAGGCAAGATTATATCCACTGGATTTTTCTTTGATTTGGGCTTAAATGAAACATTAGGGAAAAAGTCTGAAATGGTAAATTCCTGGAATTCTGCATGAACCCTTTCCTTCCCCCTGCAGATCAATGGAGATTTGCAAATCAGATTCAAATCTGAAATGTGAAAAAATAAAAAACAAAAAGAAACGTGAAGTAACCGAAATATGAAAAATATGCAACCCCCCGCCCCCAAACACATTTTTGTGCAGTGTACAAAAGCAGTCATCATAGTTATTTTCATGTTGGTTTCCAGTTGCTATTTTTACCTGGAGTATTTATTTGCCAAACTAGGAATTCTTAATTATAACCAGCATAATATTCCTCAACATGACTAGTGAGCCTATTACAGGGCCACAGACTGTTTTCCTATACATGGTGGTAAAGAGGTTAAAGACAGAGTTGGTAACCACATTCTTCTCTGAATGGAGCATTCAGTGCTCCAGGATACACAAGTAGCCTAAAGTAGTTTGTTGATTCCTTAAACGTTTTAGAAACAAACACTAGAACGTCCTACCTTGGCTCGATCTTGGGTCGGCTGAGAAAGAGGAATATGTGAGCAGGTTCTTGTCTCCTCATGTTGGTGAGGTAACGGAAAGCCTGTTGAAATCTAATTCAGATCCAGTGTAATAAGGCAATTTTGTAGTAAAATCAAGGACTACTTAATATGTACATATTAAGAACAATTATTATACCTTAGCACTTCCTGTGTGTGAGAGAGCACATATTATATTATCTCTAAAGTCCATACCAACACAGCTCTATACATGTTTATTCATTTTTTGCAGCTAATGGCTATAAGAAATTGAAATTTATGATTGAGTCTACTAAACTAAATTCCAATGAGATTGATAGTACTTACTCCCAGCTGAGTATAGGCTAGACTCTAGCTTTAGTGGCACAGTCACCCTTGTACACTCAGGGATAGTGTCATGAATATTCAGTGTATATCCACCCAACTCTGGTGCCATCCAGAGAGGCTGACTGATGGAAATTCAGGTAAGTACAGTGTCAATGCCAGGGGAACTGCAACCTGGATTGGGGAAGGCCAGCTAGCCACACAGTTCTTCTTCTCAGTCTTCTTCATCAAATGGTACTTTGATTTAAAAAAAAAAAAATTCAAGCAACAAAAAAGAAGAACTATAACAGTGCAAGATCACAATTAATGGGGGAAGGAAACCATGCTATATTTGTAAGGGTGTGCAATAGATTTGGAAGGGTTTCCATTTATTTTCCAGAGAAGTAGCAGTATTTTCAGCCCAGACCTAAGTACCTGAAGCAGCTGCAGAAATTGCAGATAATTCAGGAAATTTACACTGTGACAAATGTGTTATTCTCTAAGGTGCCACAAAACTCTTGAGCTGTTAATTCTACTCTGACACAGTTCTCACTGCTTAAAACTGGACCCAGACTCTTATTAAACAAGAATGGCTCCCACACTGATTAAAATACCTGTTTCTGTACTTTGAGAATGGAATATTTCACCTGCCACAAGGGTGGCTGGGGAATTCTGGGAGTTGAAGACCACACATCCTAAAGTTGCTGAGGTTGAGAAACACTGGTTTAAACAATAAATTGGTCATTAAGCTTCTTCTGTCAGCACTGGCAGCTTCCACTGTTTTTCTGACCTCAGCACAGTCACAGTGTTTGCCAGCGTTTGCCTGTGCAAATACACAGCCCTTGGTGTAAACAAGTCTCTTGAAGATGATCTTGTCCACTGTGCTAAATACAGGTGGCCACATAGAAATGTTGTTCCACCATATTTGTTCTGTTAACTGCAACACAGTCCTGGAGCAATTTTCTTCTTCCTCTTTGGTGGGTTAATATCTGCCTCACCAGGGACCTCTGTAATTCTGAGTTCCTTTCTTATTTCTACAGGTTCCCTCTCTCTGCTCTGTCCAGATTTGAATTGGACAGGTAGGACAAAGCCATACACACCCATCTTTTATTTCCCATCATCATTAACATCATGCTCAATTGCACTTTTGCAAGAAAAATGACTTCATTTCTCTTCACAACCACCCTGTGGGGTGGAATGCTAGCCTTTCACGTTACACAAAGGTGTATTTGCAGCCCAGATTCACCTGGGACCTGCGTAGCAACATCAGCAGAGCCTTAATCCTGGATCCAATTTACAACATTACATGTATTTAATCATCCTGAAAAATGTGCATATATCTCTGCTGAATCAAGTCTGCTGAGCTCAGGAGTAGAGGGAGTGCACGCTAACTGATTGCCAGGCAAACACCCTCATTATCTTTCACCAGTTGATGGGGGGGCTGCTGGTTCATGCTGGGGGAAATGCCATCTTTATCCTTTGATGCAAGTCTGACAGTAAAGATTCAAACATGGGTCTTAATTTAGTAAATAAATGCTAAAAACGAAAAAAGCAATAACACCCAAGCAAAATGGTGCTGGTTGGCTAAAGCCAAATTGGGATTCATTTCAGTCAGTCTCTTTCTGAGACTGTGACTTTGGAGGGAGTGGATTTGGCCCCCATTTAACCAGTTCACATTAGCTGCTACTATCTACACATTCCTAAGATGTATGTATCACTACTGTATCACAAATACTCAAAACCTCTAGGCATTGCTCTCCATCCTTACCATCCCCTTCAGGCAAACACCATCTGGACCAGAAAGCACCACCTGTCTGGTCTGATGATATCCTCCAATTCAGACACTCCCCTCCTTGAAACATGCTAGAATGTCTTACCTTCTGTTGTTCCTGTCCCAGGTTGGGCTGAAATAAGCCAGCCAAAAGCAAGGAGATGATCCATGCACCTTTAAGTCTGCCCTTCATGGTAGGAGAGCAAGAGGGACAGGGGCCCTGCACCCCTGCCTGGCCTTGCCTCCACAAAAAACTGTGTTGCTGCTTGCTGTAGGTGTCTCTTTGTGTTTCTCTCTCTCTGTCAAACATTACCACCTTCCAGCTCAACAGCTAGTATAAAAAGGATGAAGCTAAGTGCTGGTAGCCAATCATGAAGCAGCAGGAACTTGAGGGCTGGTCCTTTTCATATTAACCATGTGGCTTCTGGGCTTCAGCATTCCTCAAAGGCTGAGATGCCAAATGCTGCCCAGCTCCTTAAGACTGAATTGCTATACATCTACCTTAGTGCTCAATTCAACAAGTGGAACTGGATTAAAGAAAACATTTGAGAACAAAGCATGTTCCAAATGGTCATTTAGAGGAATGACTCTAAATGGAGTCATTTGGAATAATATGACTCTGTGATGTGTTAGCACAAAAAAGTCACATCCTGGGTCTCTTCTGCTGTCATTGAATACTGTACAATATATCTCTTAAAGTGGGAGTATGTCCCATTGAACTCAGCGGAATTTGTTTCTGAGGAGAATTATATAGAGCTCTGCGAGTAACATTTTTATTCCCACTCTTCTTTTATTAAAAACCAGGCATGTATTTAGATACATCATCTGTGTCCCTAGTATTCCCAACTGGGTTTGGCTGTGGCAATAGGAGTTGTAGTCTAAAATGTCTAGAAAAGACTTATTTTGGGGGAGAGTGGGGGAATTAATTTAAAGCCAATGGGATACTGGACCAGGACTGAGGAAATTGGGGTAGAAGTCTCCTTCAGACATGGAAGCTCACAGGGTGACTTTGGGCTATTCTTTTCAGCTCAACCTACCTCACAGGATTATTGTTATGAAGAAATTTGGAGGAGGGAGTGTTATATTTGCTGCCTTGAGGTAGGAAATAATTCTAACAAACAGGAAAGAGGAACTAGATCAAGTCCTAGTATTTACATCTAAGCTGCCATTTCAAGAGGCATATTTCACAAAAACAGATTTAGAAATAATTTTAGCATGACCAACAGGTGTTCTGAAGGATCTCATGTTCATATCACATTCTGTAATGTTCCAGGACAACACTGTGAATTTTAACCAATTCAAATTTATAGTTGGAACTTAACTGTAGTTAAGGTGCTCAGAATGGTGTTCCTCATACAGTCTAGTGGTCAGTATTGCCATTGATTTCTTATCCATTATAAAATTAAGAAATCATAGAGTTGGAAGGGACCATTGAGCCCAACCCCTCTGGAATCCAAATTACAAGGGGTGCTCACCATCTCTTGCTCTTACACTTCTTTACCCCTAAAGTTCAGTTGGAATGTGCCTTCCTGTATCTTAAATCATTTGTTCTCTTTCCTGCCATCCAGAACAAAAGAGAAAAGACCTTGACCTTCTTTTATGTGACATTTTGTCAGACATAACAATCTTTTGGAGAAACTGGTTCACTGGGCCTTATGGAAGCCTTTGGAGGGACACAAAAATAGGTCAGGCTGTTTTTCACATTATCCTATTCGCAGATGTAGAAGTAAATCAAACACCTTTTTGCCACATATACCCAAAGCTTGGGATGAAGTTTAACCTCCACCCCTGCTAGTGATCTTGCTTAAAATCACTACTTTTGTTCTGTTTTTATCAATATGGAAACAGTTATCTTAATAAACATTATGGAGGAGAGAAAGATAGAAACTTTAACTCATTCCTTTCTCAGTTTTGTAGGCAAGAAAACTGAGTAGGCAATTTCATATTTATCCAGTAGAAGAAAAAATCTTCAACCATTACTCATGAACAGGACTTAGCAGTGACTGTAGGATAATTCCTGAAAAATATTAATGGGAGAAGTTCCTTCATGAGATCTTTCTTTCTTTGAGATAAGTCTTTCTTTGAGACTTAATTGAATATGCCAGGAAGGAAGGTTGCAGACCAGAGGAATATGGGACAGGAGATCCCTCATATTTTTTAGCCATTCACCTGACAAAATAAGTACAAAAATACCACGTTCCCTCCATGAACATTTCTCTGAATTCTCTTTTCTCTTTGAAAGAAATTTCAACAGTTTTTTTTCCCCCCATCAGATTGAAAGGTGGAAAAAAATGCACTACCTCTGTCTGACTTTTCCCACCAATTAACAGGAAAACAGTGATCATGTTGAGCACAATCACTGGGCAAGAAACAAGAATCAAGCCTCTTTCCTTCCTTATCTGGATGATGGGATCAAGTGAAGGTATAGATATGGTGGAATCAACAAAATCAGCTATATGGATCAATTTGAAATTATCTTCCAATCTACTACTCTATTTTCTAGTTTCTTAAAAACTATCTGGAGTTTATGAAAAATATATTGATTTTAAGAATATCAAAAGGAATACAACATATGAAGTTCTTTTTGAATGAAAGAAGTAAGGGTTATTAAAATTATTATTACTGACTTGCATATTATATAAATGCAGATTTTAATGAACAAAAGTTATTCCACAAAAGCCTTTATTTTCATAACAAACAAGTGAATTGTTCAATTAAGTATTGAAAAGCTTTAGGTGAAGCAGGAACCAATGAAATGAATACTCTTCCTCCCTAAATTCCCTACTTGATAAACCTGGTCCACTTCCCCCCCAAAATTGGCAGGACTTAATAAGATTAAAATATGATTGTACTCATAGAAAGGAACACTTGAACCACACACTGCTTCCATAAAGCTTATCACTGATCAGGAAAATATCTACATTTCTTGATGGGAGGCACTCAGGGGTGAAGAACATGATCTCTGTAGTCATTTGAATATTTGTAGGCATTGCTTGTAGGTGGGTGGATCCATTTAGATAGATTCTAATATATTTGCCTGCATGGCCAGGACTTTTCTGTGTTTCAGTGATGAAAAAGACCAAGCTTGGATGGAGGGTTGATTTTTCATGTAATCTTTCTTAACTGTCTTTTATTTCCAGGATTACTTTTCTTGAATTTGATATTAGGATTTGGGCATGTCTATGTATATATTTATACAATTTTCTAATCTGGGAGGGTGTTTTTGTTTGTTTGTCTGTTTGTTTCTTACCTTGCCAAATGCCAGTTCTCACAGATGTACAGGTTCATTCAGGATATGAAAATGTATCATTTACAGATTATGTTTGAATTGAGAATGAGGTCATTTTTAAACATTATTATTGCACACCCTATCTGCCATTGCCACCAACACAACATTTAATGCAACTAAAACAAAAACAAAAACAAGAGCTAAAAAGGTTTTCATTTAATTAACTTTGAAGTAACCAAAATCATAGAATTGGAAGGGACCATTTTGCTCTGTGGGATTTTTTTTCCCAGACATTAAACCAACATCTGCCTTCCTGTAATTTAAATCCATTATCCTGCCCTTTGGGAGGATTAAGAATAGGTTTTGGACTTCCTCGTGGCATTATTTCAAGTAGTTGGGGAGTACTATCCTATTCCCCTTGGTTTTTATTGTTAAAGCTAAACATTCTCTGTTCATTCTCTCTGTTGTGGGACTATGGTTCTAAACTCCTGTTCGTCTTCATTGACCTCTAAATCCTTCCAATTGTCTGAAACCTTCTTAAAGTGCTGTGTCCAAAACAATACTCATGGTGCAGTCTAATCAGTCCTGAATAAAGTCAAACAATGACTTCCTTGATTTGAAAACTATATCTCTGCTGATGGAACCTAAAGCTGCATTTGTCTTTTTGCAGCCATTTGTAATCAATAGTCTGTTTCATAAGTACTATTGGCAAGTCAGGTTTCTTCCATTCCACACTTATTCATTTGATTGCTAAGTGGATTTATTTGTTATGTTTCATTATTTTATTTTGAGCCATTTCTCTAACCTACCATTCTGAATTTTATTTTTATTTTCTATGGTATTAAGCTATGCCATCAAACTTGTGTTATCTGCAAATCCGACAAGCATTCTTTCTGCATATTCATCCAAGTCATTAATTAAAAAATTTAAGAATACAGAACTCAGGACTGATTCATTCAACGTATTCTTCTGTTTAATGAAGAACCATTGATGTGCACTCTTTAAGTACAATTTTCAGGCCTGTTCTGTATTCCTTTAATTGTCATGCCACACAGCCCACATTCAACAAGTTTGCTAATCAGAATGTCAAATACTTTGATGAAAACAAGATATATTATACAAAGTCCCACAATCTACTAAGGAAATTATCTAATCAAAAAATGAATTAAAGTTAGTCCAGCAAAAAATGTTCTTTTTTTAAATAATAATTTTATTAAAAGTTTTAATTACAACAGTGAAAGTTAATACAAACTAAAGAAGAAAAAAGAGGGGGGGGGAAAGAAGGTGCAAAGAAGAAGAAAAAAAACCCTGAGAAAGCAACTTCCCACCTTCATCACAAATATAAACAATTTCATAATCTCTTCACCTCCTCTCAATTAATAGATATAAAACTCTTCATCCCATAACTCATCTCTTAACTATAGGCAAATCCAATAAGTAACATCTT